AAATCAATGTGGAGATACCTCAAAAAACTGGGATTAGTGGTCCCATTTGACCCAGCTATTCCCCTGCTGGGTATCTTACCGAAAGAATTTTAAAAATCGTAGCACAGCAATATATGCACACCATGTTTATAGCGGCACAATTTGTAATAGCTAAAACTTGGAAACAGCCCAGTTGCCCATCAACTGGAGCCTGGATAAAGAAGATGTGTTTTTTTTATAAAATGGAGTACTACTCAGCCATAAAGAAAGATAAAGTAGAGTCATTTATAGCTAAATGGGTGCACATTGAGGCCATACTCTTAAGTGAAATAAATAGGATGCACATGTTTAAATACCAAATAATTTCTTTTCAGTGAGAAACTGAAAGTAAATAAGGATCAAAATATATAATAGATAATGTGAAATAGGGGAAAAAAAAGGTCTGAAAGAGAAGTGGTGGGGTTGGGGAAAGGAAAGAATGGAAAGGAAAAAATATGAGAAAAGGAAAAAATGGAAACAAAGTCTTGGTAAATAGGGAGGGGTGGAGAGGTTGAAAGGAGGGTGGGGGAAGGGGGAAAAAATAAGAACCAAGATACATCATGTAAAGGTACAAATTCCCAATGATGAATGTCATCATATTGTATACCTAAATACCAATAAACTTAATGAATAAAAAAAACTTTCTACAGTTTGATGATAATTTTTCTAGGAGAGTCTGGTTTTACCTTAAAGTTTATTGAGAATCTTAGCCGTGTAGATTCATGTCTTTCAAAATATTTTGAACTTTTTAGCCACTTTTTCTTCAAATATTTTTTCTGCCTATGTGTATGTTGGTACTCTTGATGGGACCCTATTGGTCTCTTAGCGCTGTGTTTTTTCTTCATTCTTTCTGGTCCCCAAATCAGGCGACCTCAACTGGCATATCGTTATGTCCATCGAGTCTTTCTTCTGCCTGTTCAAATCTGCTGTTGGGCCTCACATATTGAAATTTTTATTTCAGTTATTATACTTTTCAAGTCCAGCAGCTCCGTTTACTTCCTTTTTAAAATTTGTCTTTTTGTTGATAATCTCAATTTGGTGAACCATCATTCTTTTACTTTAGTTTTTTACATGTGCTCTTTGAGCATATTTAAGATGAAGTCTTTGTCTAGTAGTTCTAATATCTGGACTTGGTCACAGATGATTACTGTTAATTTTCATTTTTTTTCTGTTTGGAACAAACTTTCTGGTTTCTTTGCCTGCCTCATTATATGGGGGGAGGAGGGTTCTAGACATTTTAAGTATACAATGTGGCACTTAGATTCTCCCACCCCCTCAGTTTGTTTTTGCTGCTTGTTGTGGTTCGTGCTGTTTATCTAGTGACCTTTTGGAACTAATTTTATAAGTATATAGTTTCTGCTGTGTGTGGCCACTGGAATATGCTTGCCCAGTTTGGTGGTCAGGAACCAGGGTTGTGTCTCTGGTGATTTATCCCGCTATATATTTATATCTTTTCCAGCCTTTGCCAGGGGGCTCTGCATGCGTGTTGGAGCCTGCCTTCAGTATTCTCCTGGATAATTTACAATTCTTTCTTGGGCTTCACTTGCTGCATGTACAGAGCTCAAAGGACAACCACAGGTGGGAACTTAGGTCTTTCTGAGCATATGCTCCGGTCTGTCTGGGCAAACACAGGACCTTCTGGCTTCTAAGAAATGCAAGGGAGCCTTTCAATGTCCTTATTCCCCAAAGTATCTTACTCCCCAGCCCTTCTTCCCAAGCTTTATGATTTATCCATTGTTTGCCCCAACAATTATCCCCTGCCCAGTTTAGCACCATTTAATAAGTTTTCCTGCAAGTGTTTTGAACAAATGCACTCTATCCCAGAGAGCCCTGAGTTTGGCAGAATGAAGGCAAACCCTTTATATGATCTTATCAGTTTGCCAACAGACAAATGAAAACATGCAGCCACAGTTGAGGACAGGGTCAGCCCTGCCCCCTCTGGCACCAGAAAGCCACCCCAAAAACTTAGTTTGTTGTCTTCAAGACCCTCACTACTCAGAATCAGCTCAGTGGTGATTCTAAAATGCTTGCCTGATTACTGTAAACTTTGATTGGTGTTCAGAGTTCAGGTAAAGGTGATTCTGACAGTTTTTGCCAGGTTATTCACTATTTCTGTGGAGGGTCGGGTCCTTAGAGTTTTCTATCCTGCCATTTTCTCTCTTTCATCACATTGTTTGAATCTTGACGAGCATATATTACTTTCAGTTTTTAAAAGAGTGACAATATGTCTCTCTTTTACAGAGGTTATTCAAGTGTTAAGGTAATTCATATTTAGCTTGCCAAAGAACTGTATCACATTAGAAGGAAAAGAATCCTGGCAAATTAATCCAGTAGCTCTCCTGATACCAACAGTGTTAAAGAGGGCAAGCTCACCCACAGCTCCCTCAAAACACTTTTGTGCAAGCCAAAGAGATCAAAGGTATATTCTGCTGAATATGGGAGATGAATATTTTAGGATTCAAATCTGTACTGGAAATGTGATGTGAAAGGTATTAGAGAAGCTTTACAGCTCCAATTGGGAGCAAGGTGCAATGGCATGCACCTGTAGTCCCAGCTACTCAGGCAGCCGAAGCAGGATGATTGCTTGAGCCCAGGATTTTGAAAACAACTAGGTAATTCAAACGCACAAAAACAAAAAGAAAGAAAAGTTTAGTTGGATGTATTCACATTGTAGTTATATGAACATTTCCGTGTAGTTGATCAGATCAATAAGAATGTAATAGTTACTCCATTCCCATTTGTCAAGTTACTCAGTTGAAATGTGAAGCTAAACCAACACGAATCTGATTCTGAAGCAACAATTTTTGTTTGAACTCTATTTTACCTGTGTGCAAAGCAGTATGAATTTGAACAAATTATCTCTCTGCTTCACTTACCTTATCAGTAAAATGGGTCTGATAGGTTTGTTATATGGATAAAATCAGTTAAGATTTTCACCAAGTACCTAAAATTAAGTAAATGCATATGTTTGAGGTACAGCTTGTCTAGAGCATGTCTTTTTAGATAGAAAAAGAATCTACAAGCTTTTCAGATAATACCCACCAAGGATAATATTTATTGGTGAAATAACTTTGCAGAGTAGATTCTCAAGAAGAAAATAGGCAGTGTTTGTGATAGCCTAAGTTGGGGACAGGGTGTATGTGTGTATGTGAAGTACAACACCAGACGTTGGTGAACTGCATTCTGAAAAGTAATGATCTGGGGGTCCAGGAGGATGGGCAAACATAGTAGGATATAAGGCAAAAAGATGGGAAAACACAGCTGATAAAGGCACTTGGAAGCTACTGAAGGGTTTGCAACAGGAGAGCCATTTGGCCATTTATATTTGGGCCACATACTATGGCAAAAAAATTAAGGATTGGGGTCAGACTGGCAAGACTGGAGGCAAGAAGATGCCTTGATGACTATTAGCCATTTTCATTCTTAGGTCATAGATGTTGGATGATGAACATTTATTGACTTGTAATAAAAAAGGTATATAAATTCTTATTTTGTAAGAAATCTACTTTTGGAATAATTTTCTCTATGATAGAGTCCCAATTTTAATGAGATCTAAAATTAAGACCCCAATTAGAGAATGGCTCTTCATTTGACACATGACCTCTTTGCTCAACAAAAAGATTCATCACACGTTTCCAGTAAATAATCATCCCTTTCTACTATATTACCTATGGTCTAATGTAGGAAACACATCAGTTTTATTAAGCAAATTAGAATGAAAAAAAACACAACCATATTACCCTGCCAAATGTACTCTGCTAATTTTATAGCTCCTCAGCCCTACATAAGTCACAAAAATATCCACACCTAGGGTAGCATACTAGCCTGAAGCAACAAGCCCTAGGAAACTGGTAAAGAAAATTATGGTTTACCAAGGCAAGTTTGACAGGCTAATTATGGTCTCATTTTATCTTTCCCTTAACTCTTACTTATTTAACAACTGTTTAATCTCAAGTATGTAGAATTTTGTGTTGGTTTGGTTTTTTAGTCATTTTTAGTAAGTAGTTTTAGGAATTAATTGGACAGCTGTCAAACAAGGGACAAAATTTAATCTGCAGTTTTACTGTTCTTTTGCCTCTGGAATATGTTATTGGAATATTTTTTAAACTTAGTGGGGATAAAAGTTTTAAATCTCTACCTACTTGACAGCATGTTCCTTGTTATTATTATGTTTTTATATGTAGACTGGAGTTCTTTGATATTAGCTGAGCACACATGTTACATAAAGTATGATTTTTAATCTGAAATACTGAACCACAATGGCTTCTTAAATACTGTATATTTAAACAATGTATATTAATAATACATGAGTAACGGGCAAATTTCTTTCTGTAAACCAGACTGGGAAAACATTACAAACACCTTCTAAAGCATGAAAAAACAAAGCAAAACAAAAAAACCCCTAAGTACGGTGTATAACTACTTTCTAATTATAATTATTTTTGGATAACTGGAAATTTAACTGCCTTCAAATAGGCATACTTTTTTCACATGTGAAATTGAGATTCTGTAGGCTGTTGCCTGATGGTAAATTCAATATAAATAACAATGAAGAAACTACATATGGTAAGCCTGGGATTCAGAAATTGGCTTTAAGATTCTCAAATAAATAAAGACCTTCTTTGAAGGCACACAGATGTATTAATTTTTAATTTGTTTCTTTTTGATCTCTTAATTACTGAAAAAGATTTATTGGTTAATTTTAGGAAGGAAAGTGTTTGAAAAGTTTTGCCAAATACTGTCTTCTTTAAATGACTGTATGGTAATGAAAAGTTAAGAGGAGAGCCAAATTAGATTGAGTAATTGTTCAGTCATGTGGGTCAAGCTAGCTGCATAGCCTGGTTGTTAGACTGATTGCTCAAATTACATTGCCTGGGGTCCTGCACTTGGTTGGCTGTCTTCTCAGATCTTAACAAGGTTCTGGGAATTTCTTTTTCTGACAAAGTTTGCTTTGTATTTTCCCCTCCCCCTCCCACCTCCAGGATGCTTCATCTACAGACATCAGAAAAGCATATCGTAAGCTTTCACTAACTTTACATCCAGACAAGAATAAAGATGAAAATGCAGAAACTCAGTTTAGACAAGTAAGTGAAGTATGCTATTACTTATATTTGTGTGACAATTTATTAATAATTATGTTTATGGTAGAAATATTAACTTACATGTGGAACAACTCCATTTGAAAATGAAGATACAGTCTACAAATATACATATTTTTATTCAATTTTTTAAATGAAATACATTTTTACCAGCATTTTGTATTATTAGAATCTTGAAATTCTTGGAGGGGCATAATTGTCATAATTTTCTTATCTAAATTATAGCTTTTGCTTTTAAAAAGCATACTTTAAGATAAATTATTACTTGTGCATCTTTCACAAAGTCTTGTTTTGATATCAAGCATTTTTAAACCTCTTTCCCTGCTACCAAAAACATAAAATACTACTTATAACTAAGATTTTCTCAGTTTATTGCATATATGGGCACATAGAGTTTTCTGCATGTGCATTATAGAGCTTTCACCCTCTTGCGTGATTTCTTATAGTTGAGAGTATGTTTATTTTAAAGTAATGCTTCTGTTTTAGTTGGTGGCCATATATGAAGTTTTAAAGGATGATGAACGAAGGCAGAGGTGAGTGTTCATTTGTACTTTTGAATTCTGATGTTACAGTTTCATGCCACAGCTTTCAAAAGGAAAGAATTAAGTCTCATTAAACACTTTATTTATTATAAGTTAGTGTTTTTGTTCCTGCCAAGAAATGTTATGTTTTACAAATATTTGTTTAGAGCAGCATTAATTTCTATTGAAAATATTCACTAGGTTGATTCAGAACTTACAGACTTTAGGATCATGAGTCATAACGTTAGTAAGTTCTGCTTCATTAGATAAGATTTTTACCGTGGCTGTTTATGCCCTGGGAAATACAAATACCACTTGACTTCAAACAAATGTCCATTCTTTTCACTGTGTCAGTAACAGCTCCTGTATGGGCCTGGTGGTCTTTTCCCCCCTCTGTTTCTTAAAATTAGCCTGTTAGCAATGGGCAAGTTAGTATACTTTCTTGATTGTTTCTTCATTCTCAAAATAACCCAATTTGTGAGAAAACAGATAAACCTGTAGAAGAGAGGAAGAGAATATTCACCTCCTTCTGATTTCTTTTGCCTCCTTCCCCTCCTTCACTCTGCTCCAGTGATTCTGTGTTTAGGGCTCACCCACGGGGACGGGGCAGCCCTCACTTCCACACTCCATGAGCCTTTCAGAAGGGTGGCCATATGTTTGGTGAGTAGTTCACAGTGCCAGCAGCTGAAGAGGAGATCGCCTAGAGGCTTCTAACTCCTGCAGAAGGTGTGGAATACAATTACAGGGGTTTCAAAGTTCTTTAAGTCAGGCCCACAGTAAGAAGAAATACGTTTTAACTCAAACTGGAAAAGTTTCACAAAATGCTTATTGCACATCATACAGACTGATTGTTCTAGTCTGGATTCTACCTAGTCTTTTTTTTTTTCCTTCCTCAACAATGTTGGTTGTGGTCCCCAAGAAACCAGTGGCTACAATCTAAAATTTGAAACTGTTGCTGTATAGTAAAAAGAACACTTATAAAACAAACCAAAAAAACCCCCAGGTATTTGAGATTTAAGCCTAAGTCAACTTGTGTCTGTCTATGGGGCAAATGTATCTTAGAAACAGAATGTTATGTATGGCATTCTGAATCTTTCTTCAGCTGTATTGTCTGGAACTATTCTGTATCTTAAAACGTTAGCTACAGCTCTTGATTCTCATCTGTTTTAATTTGAATACCTCAGTTTGTCAAATTGCAAAGCAAGGGTTCAAGATACTCTCTTGAAGTGTTTTTGCTTTATAACGAGGGCTGGCATTGATCCAGGTACCATAGCAGACATTCCTCTGGTTTGAGCTAATCTCTAATATTGAGAGAGTCCTAGAAGTGTGTTGAAAGAAGTGTTGGTCATTCTGTGCATATTTTCTGGTTGCTTTCTTTCAGTGAGCCCCTAGTTTTGTTTCTCACAAGGAGAATGTGTCTGTAAAGGTAGCTTTATTTAGTCTTCCAACATCTTTGCCATCAGATTTTGTCTTTGTATTGGTTGGTATCTTTCTTAGAAGTCAGTAAACTTTTTGACAATTTATTTCACTTACTGAAATTATTTTGATCTTTTTAGAGCAAATCACTTCCTATGTATAAATTATTTTTTCATTAACAGACTCATCTAATATTGTCTCTGTATTTATCTTAGGATTATTTCCTGTGCATTTATCTTAGGCGTTGGCAGAAAAAATGGATCTGACAGTTACACAAACAGCAGTAGTATTTATACCCCTTGAGGCACAAGTAACTCTATGGTAACTGGTTTTCCTTGAGGCAAAAGTCTTAACTAATCAAGCTGAGAATCACTCCTCTAAAGCTGTGCCTGAGGCCAGGTGACCTGTGAGTGTGTATTTAAACCTATAAGAGAAAGGCATTTCTGCAGACAGTTACCTAGGGTCCCTAATTCCTTTTAATTAGCAAAGTCAGCTTTATCTTCTAAAAGAATGTCATCCTATATTAGTATTAAAAATGCTTTTTGCTATCATAATTATTTGTCCTAAGTATTCATTGAATAAGTGCTTTTAAAAGTGTAACCTTCCAGGAATTTGCAATTTGGAAAGTTGGTGTAAACATGTTCTGTATTTATTTCCCTTACATATAGTTGTGCTTTCACTGAAATGAGATGCATTATTCACATTTTAACAAACTGGTTAACCTTTTGTTCTTTTCTTTTTTCTTGATAACCCTTCTTTTAGAAAAAAGTTTTATTTTCTTTTGTAACAGCCTTATTTAGATATAAATTGCATACCATAAAAGTAAACTGTTAAGTGTGCAATTCAGTGCTTTTTAGTAAATGTACAGAGTTATGCAAAACATCGCCACAATCCAGTCTTTTGAACATTTCCATCAATTCAAAAAATTCCCTCAAACCCATTTGTGGGAAATCCTCACTCTGATCCCTGCCCTAGCCAAATACTTACCTACTTTATGCACCTGTAAATTTGTCTTTTCTGCACATTTTATATAAATAGAATTATGCAGTGTGTGGTTTTCGTATTATTTTTGAGGTTCATTCATATTGTAGCCTTTTGCAGTGGTCCATTCTTTTTTATTGCTAAATAGCGTTCCATTTTGTGGCCCTACCACTTGTTTGTTCACCAGTAGATGGAGCATTGGGTTGCTTACACTTTCTGGTGATGATGAGCACTGCTGCTAAAAACATTCACATATAAGACTTTGTGCAGACATACGCTCTTATTTCTCTTAGGTGAATTCCTAGGAGTGCAGCTGTGAATAAACACTTAACACTGCCCTTCCCCCTCCCCTAGAGACACTGACTGTAGCATGAAACTAACAGGTTTTCCTGGTTAGTGTAAGAAAACCTAGCATAGCAGCCTTTCCTAAACTCCTGAGCTAGCTTGCTTAGTTAACAGAACAGTGGTCCAACTATGTTCCAACAGCACACCTATAATCCCAGCACTTGGGAGGCTGAGGCAGGAGGATCAGGGTGAGTTCAAGGCCAGCCTGGGCTACATAGTGAATTCAAGGCCAGCCTGAACTACACAGTGATACCCTGTTTCAAAACAAAACAAAACAAAACAAAACAAACACATCTTCCAACGTAAATTTCTATAAAGTCAGTGCCCTGACTTTAAAAGTCCTGAATGCCAGTTGTTACATATTTACACTGGATTGTGCTTTCATAATATTAACCTATTTACTTTTACTTAAAATCTATGTGATAAATTTTGACCAGTATTCTTTTGCTAATCTAATTTTTTTGTTTTACATGTTACTGTATTTGTAAAAAATTGGATTTTTTTTTAGTTTGCAAAATTGTTTCATTTATAAATACAGTTGAAAGGATTTTATCAGCCTTGATCTGCCAAAAACTTTTATAAATCCATTACCAAGTTATTCTAATAAGATTACAGATTTTTCAGATCATAATAAACATTAAAGTGAGAATAAGAAATCTTACCTTTGCACCTTCCCTAATTTGGAGATAGGAGACACCTATTATATACGGTATGTAAAGTGCCACGTACTGCAGTTTTTTACATATGTGTGTATTTTTAAAGAAGTGTGAGATCAATTAATTTAGTATTATTTCCTGTTTATGATCTTTGTGGAAGTGATTTTTACTGGAAGGTTTGAAATGCCACCTAAATGCATATTGTGTTGTCATTTAACAAGCTTTGTATGATAGAAAATTCATAATTTAGGTGAGTGGTAGAATTATTTATTCATTTTCATAATACACAAATTTTCTATTTTATGTATTTCATTGCTATTTTATATTTTAAATTATGCTAATATTTTAAATTTAGATAAATGCTTATGCTGGTAATTCAGAATTTTTAAAGTTCACTTTTTTCCAGTACTTATGTTAGGCTACATATGTTTGATGAATTGCAGATTCCAATAGGAATTCATTAATAATTACACAATCATTGCTTTATGTTTATTAAGTACATCTTAAGAAAATCGAATGAAATAAACATAAATTAGACCATATGTTAGATGTGTGGAACTGATCACTTAATGTTTTAATTTCTAAGAAAATCTCTTTATATTCGCAGAGGAGTTGTTTCATTGGTGATATTTTCATCATAGAGATTTACTTCTGAGTATCTTATAACACATTTATACATTCATATATTCTGGATTTAACACATTGTTAAAAGCACATAGTTTAACACATAGTTAAGACTATAGTATATATTTTTATGGTGCTGGGGAAGCACAGTTTATCAATCTCAGTTACATAGCATTTTGATAGTGTCATGTGCTTAAATATTAACAAAATATAATAAAGTGATGTTGTAAATCTTATGTTGTCAGCACAGTGTTTTTCCTTAAATAACTTAGGAAATTAGTGTCTCTGTATTTTAAGAAATGTATTTATCTTTTTGGTGTTTCATCAAGAAAGCAGTAATTTATGTTTTAACAGCAAATATTCTAAAAAGCAAACTATAATGGATGCAATCTTCCCTTAAAATGGCTAGTCGTGTAAGCCATAATGTTCATTGATAGTAAAATCAATAGAGCATTGATTCTAAGCTTAATTCTTGGACACTGTTGTTCAGAGTGGCAGACATAGCCTAGTAAATACCTGGTTGTGTTTAATGTGTTTAGTGCATGAGGTTTCGCAGTCTTGAATGGTTGTGCACTAAATACAATTTATGCATGAGGTAGAAAAATAGTAGCTATTCACACATACTTAGCATTTTCAGCAATGATGGTGATAAAATATTTGATAAGAGATTCTTAACTAAGCTCAACTGTGCTGTTTTTGGATACATTTATATCTGAAACAAATTTAATACTTAGTAATGTTATATGGTAGTTGTCTCCACTTTCTGAGGTTTTAAAAATTAATAATAATACTTTTTACATGAAGTTATATAATGAGAAAGATTTGCTGAAAATACGATTTTTATCTTCATCCTTTTTTCCCTCAACAAATCTGAAACAGGATAAAGATTTAGAATAAATTTGGGACTTAACATTCATTGGACTTCATTCAAATGTTGTAATCTTGTGTTATACTAATTGAAACCTTTTTACTTACCTATGTCTAATTTAAAATAGCCAGTTTTTAAAAGATAAATTTAAATAGTGATTTTTGAGTACAGAAATGATAGTTTTAAATGAAGTCACAGCATGATATCTTGAAGTTACTATTCAAGAACTGCTACAAATGTTGAGAAAGAAGACTATTTAGCTTCAAGTAACAGTATGGTTGTTACTATACAACCATATTTTAATTTGTAGACTCTTTTGCAGTTTGGCATTTAAGAGTTTAGCACTATTTAATGTCCTTTGCTTTTAATATTTGGTTACTCTGATCTAATAGTGTTATTAATAACCTAAGTCAATTTAAAAGTCAAGTTTTAAAATTTGCTAATAAAATATATTTTGCATTAATAACCAGTGTTGTTCTACTGAAAGAAGAACTTGCCTGTATAAACGCTCTGCTTTATTTTTTTTTTAGCGTATCTCCAAGGTATCAATTTAATAACTATCAAAGTAGCTACTGCAGTTGTTGCATTTAAATTGATTTACACGTCAAGACTGGCAGTTTAGCAGCTGCGCTATTATTCCTAGATCGGTCAATTTACTTGAGAAAAACCTACTACTGAGTTCTACTGACCTGCCTGACAATATAGGCCCTATTTCTATTCCTGTAATTAAGCCTGCGACTAACTCAGAATATTTTTAATTAAAATATTTTGGTCAATGTGTTGCACCAAATTAGGCCTTTCAGTGAAGATTTAATTCTAGAAATAGTGTGATTAGAATATTTAATGAGTTGTGTTCAATTAAGATTAACAGGTTGTGTGTGTTGAACATACAGTGTTTGTGTGTGACCATTTTGAGTTTAACAATCATAAATGTTACTCCTTGTTTTTAACCTTAAAAATATTTGCCTTAACTGACAAGTACATTTAAATTCAGGTGAAATTTTATTTTAAAGTCTTTTCTAGCTTGATGATACCAAGAAAGATGATTAAAATGCATTACAGTTAAAGCTTTTACTTATTAATATTCTTCCCTTCCAACAAAAGCCAAAAATGAGGAAATTACTACTTAAATATTTACAAATAATTCTATTGAGAAATCTGGCATAAACATTAGATGTTTCCTCACCCCGTTCTAGTTTTGAAAGTTTTTGTTTTCTAAAGGAGAGTGAGCAATACAAAATCAAAAGGCTTTTAGTTCATTAAAAAGCTTTGAAAAAATAATGTATATAAATATTTCAACCTTGAACCACTATGAGAGTAGAAATAAAAGCACTGACTAAAATTTGAATCCTGAATTTGATTCAGTTAATGTGTAATTCATGGTTTCAAATAGCTCTGATCTTGATTTTTCTCCTGTTTCTGACTCTATAGTGGAGTTTCCCTGCAGAGTGGTAGACAGGTAGGTCATAGGTAGGGCCTTCAGGGTAAGGTGTTATTCAGGGTCATACCCTTAGGTGCTGTAACACAGGAGATCTGGGATCCACCATGTTTACACTCACTATGCACCTTCTCCAAGGTGGTCAGCAGCTGAGCCACGTGTGGTGCTTTGAATTTACTACTACACAGTGCAGTGCTGGTAATCTACATAAATGTTATCCTTTGGGAGAATTCATTTCCTCTTTCTTCTTTGAAAATATAGGTATAAGTGAAGTTTATTTTGTTTTTGTTTTTTATTTCAAACTCCCCATGAAAAATTGTTATATTTGCTACTGTAGGTATGATGATATTCTGATCAACGGACTTCCAGATTGGCGACAGCCTGTGTTCTACTACAGGCGGGTGAGAAAAATGAGCAATGCTGAGCTGGCATTACTCTTGTTCATTATTCTCACAGTGGGTCATTATGCTGTGGTTTGGTCAATCTACCTGGAAAAACAACTGGTGAGTATTGCTGATAAGTTGCATGATCTAGCCTCCTTCATTTTATTTGGAATTTAAGACATTTATTTCTCAAGTGATGAAAATTTCTGTTTCTCTACATATACTCCATGCTAATAGTTTTTTATATTCAATAGTATTTGATTTATCTATAACTCAAAAACAACCATAAATAAGAAGAAAATATTCTTCTTTTAAAAAATATGGCATTTGATTTTTCTGTAAAACTTTGTGAAAGTGTAGCTATTTAGCTGGAAATTAGAAAGTAGAACCATGCTTTCTTAATTATCATTTTCTAAATATAATTATTATTTAATGTAAGACTTGTTCGAGAAATTTGTCACTGACCCTCATATAATGAATATTTGCTTTTAAAACATTTTAATTAAATAAGATTTAAAATGAATATATTTTATACCTTCAGAGACCAGTTCATTAAAAAATTATATTTTTCTTGATCTAATGTGCTGCTATGTAGTTTATTCTGGTATGAATTTTTATTTGTATACTAAAGATAAACATATTTGTCAGTGTTCATGAATTAGCATCTGTTTACTTATTCCTTTTGAAGTGACATTATTAAAGTTGCATGAATGAGAAAAAGTAAGTTGAATGCTTTCTCTTCTTAGAAAACTTTGATTGCTATGGAGATGCACATGACTGACAGTGCCAAACTTCGTATGTGTTTAAGGCTTGGATACCATGGCAACAGTTATTGTGAAAGATTGATGATTTTACTTAATCATGTTGGACCCTACATACATTTGCATAAATGTTCCTCTAAAGTGTTTACTCTTCACGGAAGAGTCTTGATAACGTTTGAAGAGCACATGTTTAATGATAACCTGTAACCATAATTCTTTCCACATTAAGGATGAACTGCTTAGTAGAAAAAAGAGAGAAAAGAAGAAAAGGACAGGAGGCAAGAGTGTGGATGTATCAAAACTTGGAGCTTCAGAAAAAAATGAAAGGTGGGAGTAAATGAAAATATTTTATGATTTGAAACTTTTAAAATACCTTTATATGTATATCCATTTCAGATTGTTCTCATTACATCTACACTACATAAATACTAATGCACCATGGTTTAATAAGATAAATCCTAATCTTAGGTAAAACTCCTAGAATTTTCCTCTCTTCATAAAAGATTTATACATATATTTAAATGATGTAAAATTTTAATTTCTTGTAGTTTGAAGTTTTGTACTGAACTTTAGAAAAAAATACTACTAGAAGAATCTCTTAGCTCAGGAGTAACAATATGTAGAGAGGCCGTGATATGCAGTACACTCAAAAAGATACCACATTTCTTCTATTGATTCATAGAAAGAAGTAAAGGATTTAAATAGTTCACACAGCAGGGCATGGACCTGATCAATGTAGGATAGAGATCAGAGACTATTCTGCCTGTCTTCTATTCTGATGACATCAGTGAGTAATGCTTCAGTGAACTGCAAATGACATTGATTTTTATGTATTGGTTTGTTTATGCTACAGTCTTCATATCTGGTTGTCAGCACTTGGGAACACTTTTGAGTCTTTACCAGCTGAAGGAATCATAAGGTTTAAGAATTCGTTTTGTAGAAGTGATGAAAAGCCCAGGTTAGAAAGAGGGATTTTGCATCCTCATTTTTATAACTTAACTAGGAGCCTCCTTCCCCAAAGTTCTAGCCAGTATTCTGTTCCTTGCTTTATATATTCCATTTGTTGTAGCTATTACATTTCATGGTAAAATAAGTTGGATTGTGATAACTGTCATAAGTATTTCATTGAGTACTTTGTATTTTGTTATTGGCGAAATAGGTACTCAAAAAAGAATTCATGAACTTTTAAAAAATGTTGTTTCCCAACTTTCTTAGAATATTTTGCTGATTTGTTGTTTGGGTTTCCCTACCTTTTTAGATTGCTGATAAAACCACAGTGGCATGATTTGCTTCCTTGCAAACTGGGAATTTGGTTTTGCCTTACACTAAAAGCATTGCCTCATCTGCTGCAGGTAAAATGTTCTTTCATATAATGTTAGATGCTTTCATTGTGAATTATTCATGAAATAATTTATGCCCATGTCTGCTTTCTGAATGCTGATACCCAGTATATCCTTCATAATGTTGATTGAATTGAAATCAGGTACTTTTATAAGTTAAACTTTGTTTAGATTCTAAGATTATTTACATACCTATTCCTATAATTATCTTATTTTGCTATTAGAATACCTTAGAATTCCAAGACAGTGGAAAAATTTTAAAAAATACTATCTTTAGGACAGACATAAAAGCAGTAAAAGTTTCATTTGCTGTTGTCATTAAAGGCATAACCAGTAAAAAGGAACCAGGTTCAAGTAGCTTGTCACCTATTGTTTTAATAGTATTTAAGTACATAATGTTAAAAAAGAAAAACAGGTTTTTACTGGAGCTTCTATATAATTATGCAAAAGTATACAGTGCTTTCAGTTTATCTGCAGCTTTAAGAGTAGTGAAGACATTTTGTCTTCCACTGATAATCCGAGTTTCTGTTTCATTAGTCTTGATCAAGCAATAAAATGTGGGTACATATATTTATATGGCAATTTCCCATTCTTTTATGCTCAGCATACCAAGCATATTTTATTAAATTAGTGCTTTGGTAATTTAATCATTTATTTAGTTAGAAAATTCCCAACATATAAACATAATATTTGAAAGTAAATATGCTTTTTGCTGTAACAGATTTTGAGGTTCTTTGAGATTGTAATTTCGAAGGAGAAATGTTTTATTTCAGAAAATAAGTGCTGATAAGCCAAGAACCAGTCCTCCCCACTTTGTATTCATGTGTCAGAGCTGTTTTTCAAGCCATTTATGAGAGCTAATGACCCCAACTTCTGCATCCTATTTTCCTTTTTCTTCTTATAATGTAAATCATATATTTGAAGGAAAAAAGAAATAAAAATTACCAGCATGCTTATGTCTAGCCTTTAAGAAATTATTTATGAATTCTTCGATCAAGAAAATTTATGTTAATGGTTATTTCTTACAGAGTCTTATGTTTGTTTATAGTTCATAAAGAAAAATTGAAGTGTTTTAGTAATTTAGACACTTTTGTTTTTAAGTCAACATGGTATCTATTTGAGAAAAATTCAAATTCTTAAGCACTGTATGAGTAAAACAATAAGAGAGAGGGAAAGTATATTTATCATACTATATGTTTATAAGAAAATGTGCCAGAAATATTTTTAGGACAGATCTTCATTTTTTTGAAGTCTATTTTTTGCCAGTGCTAGAATCTGTGCAATAGACAAATGAGAGAACAGATGCATTTAAAAATATAATCATGAGACAGTATAATTAGACTACCACACAAAATGTCAATCTTAAATACTCATTTGTAATTTTAATCTAAGTAATTTGAAATAAAGTTTATGTGGTAAAATGAACATATATCTGCCTGTGGTATCTAAACCTAAAAGATTAAATGACTATTTTGCCTCACCATAAGTTTTTAGAAAATATATAAAAATAAGAAAATTTACAGAAACATTTTGGTCTCTTCAGAAACTTTAAACTGTTTGATAATTTGACTTTTAAAGTTTGTACTTACATTCTGATAACTGTTGCCTCTTAACTTTTATATACTTAGGCATTAGCCTTTCAAGACCTTATAAACTTAATTTTTAAGTTTGGTTGTAATTATTTCTTCCTAATAAATGAATTTTAAGAAGAAAATGATGATTTTTCCTTTTTCTTAAACACATGTTTGGTATTTTAATTCTGCTTTGGAGGCATAAGATTAGTTTATCTAGTGGTCACTAGCAAAATAATATAACATATAGTAGTTTCTTTCTGGTACGGGTTGTAATAGTGAGGGTATTTTAGATTGATGAACATATAGCTTATGAAAGAGAGCAAAACAATACTGAATAGTTGCTGTCAGGTTTAGATTTTTCTTTGCCTTTTTTCCCCCATCTTTTGTGACCTTCATATTAGTTTATCATCCATAAAATCATGTCATATAAATTTTATGTGTTTGTGTGGTATTGCTATGAAATCTTCTTAAGTAAGACACTTGTGAAACTTAGACCTTTTAACCCGAAGCAAACTGGATTGGTAATTGGTACAGCAGTAAAAAATGGGCTCTATAAAAGACTTCGGTGTGAAAAATTATACATAGAGCCTTAAACTTTTAAAACATACTTTATATGTATTCGCCACTCTTGTAATACAAAGCTGTTGTTTTTTGGTTTTTGTTTGGTTTTTTTTTTGGTACCAGAGATCGAACTTGGGACTTTGCGCTTGCGAGGCAGGCGCTGGAACCACTGAGCTAAATCCCTGGCCTGCTGTTGTATTTTTAAATAGGAGTCTATTCATTAGAGTTCTTCTTTCTTTCATAAACTACCATACCTATAGTCTTGGTTTCTTTAAAGACAGATTTCCAATCTTCTCTTTAAAGAAGAATAAGACTAATCTCTAGTGAAGCAGTGTAATTGTGTAATACTTACAGTTTTATGATTTTCCCTTAGTCTTTTACATTTGTGAGCAACATTTTTAGCAGCTCTTATATTGAGTTTCCCAAAACATTAAGCTTGATTTTCATAGAAACAATTCTATTTTCTACTAATATTTTATTATTTTATGTAATATTTAATTGGATCATATTATTACAATAACAGATATGACTTGCACCCACAGGCTTAAGAGCTTACACAACCAGCTCTTACAAACACATAGTGAATAAGCAGTTACCAGTGGAGACACTTTTACTTCTGGTGTGAGTCTCTTGCATTTCAGGAACAGCGATCTAAAATTGAACTTTAAATACCCTGTGCAAGTACATAAAAGTGAAAGATTTAATGGCTTCCAGCAGGTGAACTTCACACTGGCAGAATCTGTTGCCTAATCTTGTCATTGCAACACCCCCAACTTCTGTCTTCCCCATTCATCCTCTGCATACCCATTTCTTTACTGAACTTCACATACATGCAAGGTTATACAGTAGGTTTGGAAAAAGTAAGTTTTGACCCAGTTTATGGGCTAAAGTTCTCTTGTATTATGTAACATTGAAGATCTTGAAGAAAACTTACTACCTGCTTAGTTTACCTAAATTCTTTTCTATACTCCTCTGCCAAAAGATCATAAATGAGAGCAGTTATGTAAATATTTGATATATAAAGCTTCTTCTGGTTTCATGTTTAAAAAAATAGTTCATCCAGTTCAATAAAGACATATTAAACACATGAAAACAAGGCACTACAAAGGGTCTAGAAATAAATGTGCCTTCTGGGACTTTACAGTCAGGTAGCAGTTATAATATGTGAGTTCAAATGACCGTGATACAATATGGTACATAGGAGTCACATTTGTAGTATAAACAATGACTTCTGCAGAGGTTCATAGAAGTAAGGTTGACTCCATTTAGTACGCCCAAAGAAAACTAAAAAGAAGAGCCACTTGAATGGAGTCTTAAAGGATGAATAATGTGCCCTTACCAATGAAGTGGTCCACTTTGTGTAGTAGGTCATATACCAAGATAATTTCATAGATATAGTATGTCCCATGCAATCTGACTGTGTTAAGGGTGAAAGAGACACTTTTTAAAAGAGGATATGCTGTCATTTATTTCTATAGTCTAGGTCTCCAGATTCCGACTCTATCCATTTAGGACTTCATATTCTAACAGATAAAGCTATGAGTGGTCTATAAGGAACATTTATGCAGGACAAAGTTTATTTATGACATAGCAAAGTCTTTTACACATTTCTGACAAAGATATGAGTGAAATACTAGAAGTGATAGATACAGAGTGCCCAATGGCTATGAAACAGGCAAAAAATCCTCTTCTGTGATTGGTGGAGTAGTGCAAAAGTATCTCTCTGATACTACTCCTTGCTTTTTGAGAAGTTCTTCACACTTCCAGCATCTAGTTTTATTCCTATATTCTGCTCTGAAAAAGATACTGAGAGAATTATAAGAATAATAGATAGAATGGCAGAGCTGTTATACTGGATACATGTTAATTTTTTTTGAGGGGGGGGTGGTACCGGGCATCAAACTCAGGGCCTTGCGCTTGTGAGACAGGCGCCAGAACCACTGAGCTAAACCCCCAGCCCCATGTTAAATATTTGATGATGTTGACTTAATATCAAACATTTCCCAGATAGTCAGTACTCAAGGAAGAGATGCATAGAGATTACTACTGTATACTTAGCAGAATGTATCCCATTATCATCTAAGTACCCACATGGGCAAAAGAAAGAATAAGCATCTAATAAGAAATCAACAAAAAAGGATACGGAGAATATTTGTGAATTGATGAGTAGATGGAAGGCTAGTGTGCTTGGAGAGATGAGAGAGGAGTGAAATGCATGACTGCATGCAGGGAAGCTGGTGGACCTTGAGAATGTATCTAAATAGCTAAGGAAGCAAGTAGAGTGATCAGCAAGAAGTAGAAAATGAATTAGAACATATCAAGCCCTAGAGCAAGGGCTTTGAGGCTAGAATGTAACTGTAGCACTGCAAGTATAGCTTCTGTAACACTTTCACATTTTATCAGTCTGTTTCTGTTCTCATGATAGTTTTGAAGAGAGTACATATTTGCTTACTAGTCTTCCGTGTCAGTTGTAGTCAGCATATAACTCCAGGAAATTATCCTAATATCCATATTGCTCTTCTGGAAAGAGGGTGTGTGTGTGTGTGTGTGTGTGTGTGTGTGTGTGTGTGTGTGTTAAACATAAGGCCTCCCACATGCTACGCATGTGCTTTACCATTGAGCTATAACCCTAGTCCTAGCATATTTTTTTAATTGGTCATATGTTCTGTAGCCATAAAAGTAGCAAAAATTAATGAAATATAATTGATGCTGTGTGTGTAAATTGAAATCTTATAACAGTTTATTTTTGCCACTCTCTACCTGTGTTGGAACCGTGTATATTTAGGCCATAATAATTTAGTTTGGGATGGGGGCCATGAGACAGGATCTCCCTATGTAGCCCAGGCTGGCCTCGAACTCACAGTGATCCTCCTGCCT